CAAAAGTTTTAATTATCGATGTCATACCAAAATAAGTTGATAAATTATTTTTATAGGTAATCTATAACACCCCTAAATTAAATGGGAATATGAGATAACCAAGATGTCTACGTGGAGCATGAATGAGGATAGTTTACCTGGAACACCTTCCCAGAAATATATGACCGACACAATCACCAATTATTCTTATTATTTTTTTATTCTTAAAAGACGCGAACTTAAAGTTAAATAATGCCACGTGATCCGAGGTCCCCTCTCACGTGACACTGTCTTGCTTTCAGTCTCTACAAGTTTTTTTGCTACTAATCGCTGTGTCATAAAAAAAATGTTGGAATAAAATTAAGGAGAAAGTCTAAAAAAAAATCAATAAATTTTAGTGTTTGAAATAATTAAGTTTTTAGATAATTTTTTAAATAAATAACTCATTGAACATTTTAAAACTTGCTAAATAATTTTTTGGACTTTCTAAAACCTGTTAGATAAATTCTTATGACCTATAAAAATTGTTAATATGGTAAAATAATGAAAAAAATAGGAGGACCAATTGACTTTTATATTTTAAATGATTAAGTTCCTAAGTATTTTTTATACTAAAAAAAAATATTTGTATCTATAAAATGAAACAAATTTTCCAAATAAAAAAGGATTTTAAAAAATTACTGATTAATTTATTTTAATTAAAAATAAAATATATTTCATATATGATTTCTTAAATAAAAAAGAGGATTTAAAAAGAATTGGTGATGAAATTTATTTTAATTAAAAATAAAATATATTCTGTTGATGATTTTTTAAATTAAAAAATAGAAAATAATTTAATTAAATTACTGAAGGATTAACGATAAAATTTAAAATACATAATTAATTAAAATTCATCGTTAGTGTTCATTGGTATATATATGCATGGATTATTTATATCTAATTGATGACTAACTTAACCACCGTCAGAGCTCTAAAACAATAACATGTTAATAAGTGTGAAATATCGTGGTTGAATCTTGTCGGTGATATCATTTCACCGACGGATTAGGGACAAATTTTAATTAATTATGTATTTTGTTAGATTTTATCGTTAATCCGTCAGTAATTTAATCTAATTATTTTCTATTTTTTTAATTTGAAAAATCACCAACATAGTATATTTTATTTTTAATTAAAATAAATTTCATAACTAATTTTTTTAGATCTTTTTTTATTTGAAAAATCACTGACATAAATTATTTTATTTTTAATTAAAATAAATTTCATCAATAATTTTTTTTAAATGTAAGTATTTTTTTTTGTAAATATAAGTTTTTTTTTTGGTTTATTTATTTCATTTTATAGATGTGAAAAAAAATTTGATTCAAAAAATGTTTAGGAACTTAATCGTTCAAAATATGAAAGTCTATTGTTTTTTTTTTTCCAGATTTTTTTCATTATTTTACCACATTAACCAGTTGTATAGATCATAAAAATGTATCTAACATGTTTTGAAATGTCCAAGGAATTATTTAATAAGTTTTGAAATGTCCAAAGACTTATTTGTTCCAAAAAATTATCCAAGGACTTAATTATTCCAAACATTAAAATTCATTGGGTTTTTTAGATTTTTCCCTAAAAATAACATATAATTTAAAAAATGTATGATTATTATAATTTTTTTAATTAAGTAAATGATATATTTATTTTTAATATAGAAAAAAAATTCTTTATCTAATAATTAGAAATAGAATGAAAAAATGAAAATTTATTATTAAAAATTAATATTTATTTTGAGATAAATTAAAATAGAAATATAAAAACATTTAATTTAAGCGAGTGGAAACTTTTAATGGTTTTCTATTTTAATTTTCATATTTGATAGTTTGATGAAAATCGAAGACAAATAATATGTTTTTGAGAATGATTTATACATACAAAAAACTATATTAAATAATACTAAAAAGGTACTCATGCAATGTAACGAGATACATCTTAATTTTAATATTTTATTTTATTCTTTATTTCAGTCGATGTTATAATATGGTATTGTTTGATTTTGAAAAAAACAATGATGTTTTTTTATTTTTAAATAAAATATAAATTCGAAAACATCATAAACATTTAACAAAAATATATCGATATTAATATCAAATTAACTATTTAAAATTCCTCATTTTTTAAGAGTTTTTGTCAAATGCTTTATAATATAGTATAGATACCTACAAAATATTTTAATTATATAGTAAATATTGAAACTTTTAAAATAAAAATTTTGTTGAAAATTAAATATACTTGTTTTAAAAAAATTATTTTTAGTTCTCTATTTTAGATAAATCATAGAGAATCTATTAGAAATGCTCTAAAAGTATCTTCAACATATTAATCAAAATAGAGAGGTTAAAAAGTCAAAAAGTCAAAATGTCTAAAAAAAGTTGCCTTTTATCTCCAACAAATTCTCTATTTTAGATATTACACTATTAATTATATTTATTAAAATATTCAATACTGCTCATAATATATCATTTTTTTTAACATTTAATTTCAAGCAATCTCATTGATAAAATGAATAAAAAAATCATTTCTTTCTCATAAGTAATCATTTTTCAAGAAATCTCCAAATTTATAAAATTTCTTCATCTCTCATACTTTCTCTATTTTGAAAAAGATTTAAAAAAATCTGTTAAAATAAAAAATACCGAAATCTACATTTTAAAGAATTTATTGAAAAAGTTCTAAATTCTTATAAAAACTTGGATTTTTAACTTAGGGAATGTTTGAGATTGCTTATTTTGAAACAACTTATGCTTTTCTATAAAAGTACTTATCAACTTATTATAAGTCAGAAGGGTTTAACTTCTTTAAAAACTCCTTATTATCGGTTTGGCACCGATATAAGTTGTTTATCTAAACACTCAAAAGTGTTTATAGATAAAAATAAAATGGAGATGATTATCATTTATTTAATTATGTTTATCAGTTAAATTTTGGTTAATGTAAAAAGATTTTAAAAAATTGTACGATACGATACATAAAATTGAGGGTGAATTACATAAATCTTCTTTGATGTTTGTTGAAATTACATCAATTGTCATCATTGTTCTAATTTCGTACGTTTAAATGTTGTAGCATGGATTGTCCCTCTCTCTAACTTCTGCAAGTTGAGCCAATAAATGCAATTGTGCATTAGTTGCATGAGGGCATTCCAGTCATTTTTAATGTTTTTGCAGGGTGACCATCTGTCGACTACAACCCCCTTTTGATAACCATCTCTGGTGATAATATTTGCCCCCTTCTCCGATGCCTCCCCTTCCAATCATCTTCCGACTATCCTCCACTATTGCAACACAATTTTCTCCCAATCAACATTTTTTTTCATTTCCTTCGTCTCAAAACCCACTACAAAAATGCAGAGTATCAGCGAGAGAAATTTCTCTCGCAAATTCGTCGCTAAAAGGGTCGTTCGTCGCTGATACTTCATCGGTCAAATGCTCGTAGGCAATGCTATCAGCGAGGGATATTTTCGGCTACGGATCAGCAGATCAACGAGGGAATATATCAGCGACGAAACTTTCAGCGACAGATCAACGAGGGAACTTTCAGCAACGGATCAACGAGGAAATATCCAAAAACAGATTCCCTTGCTAATCCCTCGCAGATCAGCGAGGGATTGGCCATAAACTTAATCCCTCGTTGATCCCTCGCAGATCAGCAAGGGATTGGCCAGAAACTCAATCCCTGATCAGCGAGGGAATCTGTTTTTGGCAAGGGATCAGCGAGAGAATATGTTTTTGGCTAATCCCTCGCGATTTTTCCCTTGCTGATAACTGGTATTCTAGTAGTGACCCCTAATTTTGTCCTCGTTTAACAATTATTTGGATAAAAAAAGGGGAGTTGCAAAGGTGGAGGTGAGAGTTCCAAATTTGGACCGCCATGATTGTGCTCCAAACTCAAGAAAGCAACTTCAGCTTAAAAGTATATTTCAAAGTTAGCAAAGACAGAAACAAAAAAAGAAGCAAAAAAGCAAAAGCACCTACAAATCATCGTGAGTGAAGCTATTTCTGTAAAATCAATTCGCTCTCTGAGTTTGGATGATGGAAAGAAACACAAGAAGAATCTTAATTCTTGTTTTAATTTGGAAGTTGAGGTTTTAGTGTTACGGAAACTGTTTTGGATTTTGCAGGTGTTTGCAAAACAGATGCATATGTATCAACTTCTTTGAACTAGAAAGCCTCCTTGAATCAGAGAGAAAACGAAATCTTCAATGTTTATCGTGGTCCGATCGGTTCCTAAAATTTATTGGTACAAAAACAAATAAAGCTCCAACAAAGGCTATTTAGGTAATTCACTCTAAAATTTAAAACATTATGTATTCTTAGATTATTATAATAAAAAAAATTAAAAATAAATTTTATTAAATCTTTAAAAATGAATTTAAAATATTATTATTATTTTTTAATATAGACTATGGGAAGGTAGGCATGGCATCGAGGCAGGGATAAGACGGGTTTTGTAATCCCCGGTCCCAGCCCCGGTTTGTAGTAACATTCTCCGGCTCCTGGCAGGTACGGGGATTAACATCCCGTCCTCGGCCAAACCTCTATCAAAACTTGGTCAAACCCCATGAATAATACCCGTTAGTTTGATTCTATTTGAAATCCCCGACCCCGACCCCATCCCCAATTTGAGTCTAATGGGGATCTTCAGCCTCGAATCCAAGACCCGTTTTAACAGAAATTCCTGTCTTCATTCAAATCAAATAAACCGGATTTCCATCGGGTCAGGTCAAATCAGGATCCTATGAGAAGGTGAGGATGTTGCAATGCACAAAACCTCTTCGATGCTCTTAAATGAAAAAAGAAATAATAGCCTGCTCGCTAGCCCATCGTAGCAACCCTACACCAACCAGTCCTAAAAGCCTACTGCCCAACAGGGGTAATTCATTTCACACGTGGCATAGATTCATTGGGCGATTACTGTTTTCGAAAAAGGTTTTTATCGTAGAGAAACATAGCTGCAGACGGATTGAACAGTCACTCACTGTGTCTTTCTTCTTTCTTCTTTAAATGGACCCGCTGTATCTGTAAGTATATCTACCTATGAAGATGGATCTATGTCTGTTTATTTGTGCTCATATGTAGAGCCTTGTTCATTAGGTCCACGGCGATGTAAGGTATGTTAATTTAATTCATCAATTTTTTTGGATTTTTACGGATGTTTTGATTCATATGTTGTCTTTTAATTTTGCTCGGTTAGGTTTAATTTTGGGGAAAATTTGATGTTGTTGATAGTTTAGTTGCATTCCTGGATTTTTAGCTCATTCCGATGAGCTGAACTGTAGGCGGTGTTCCAGTGGCTTTTTTTTAATAATTTTTGGATCCGTCGTATTTGTTCAATCTATTGGATTTGGTTGTTCAAATTTCAGATTGTTCATGCTAATGCATTTACTAGAATCTTATTTCAATTCTCTGTTGCTTAAGTTGGATGTTGATGACGATTCATTTGCATTCATGGATTTTGGATTGGTTTTAGTTGTTTGCTGAACTCTAGACTCTGCACGAGTGTTTGTTCTTCTTCTGGTCTTGGATCCATCGTCGTTCAAGCTATTGACTTTAGTTGGTGAGTGTTGAATTCTATTTGTTGTTTTTAATGGTTAGGATTGCATCCCTCCACTCTTATTTTGGAAATTCAACTCGGTAATTTTCAAAATCGAAAAATTATTTCGATTGTTCTGATAATTTTGTCTAAAGTGTGATCTGTACAGCTAAACAAATTCATTCATAGAATCATAACTATTTGCAGGTGTCATTTTTCTCATAATTTCCAACTAAGATATGGTATCTGAACATTTAATTTGGCATTTCTTGATTTAAATCCGAGCTTAATGGATCTGCAATCTCCGATGATTTGGTAATTGTAATGCAAACATTGATTGTAACGAATCTGATCAATGTTTAGAAGTTCTAATTATTGAGTGTATATCTGAGATTCAGAGCAGCAGCTACTTATACAAACTTGAGATCTGGCCTCTGGTTATAGAACTCCTTTGTCTTTTATGGTTTTATCCCTAATCCAGTTCCTGTTGTTATCTGAGATTCAGACCAGCTGCAGTAAATAGAGACCTTGAACTAAGAAACAAACCCTATAAATCAACAGGATACTCTCCATGTATGACACCCCAAGTCCCAAAATCAGAAATTCGGCTAATAACCTCTAAATCAACTTACTGAGAGGATTATTAATAGTCAACTGCTGAAGACTTATATGAGAATTACAAGCAACTCACAGATGATATTCAATAATCGGGGTCATTAGTATCCTGGTATATATACTCAGGTCAATTGAAAATTGTTGATCCTTCATTAGGCATCAGAAACCATGCAGTTTGTACATCCCTTTTGAAAATTTGTAATCAAGATATTTGGTCTTTGATTATCTGTGCCTCAAAACTTGTAATCCTCCTGTTTTGCAGATCATGAGGTGCCAGTCCTGATCATCATTTTCCTCGGGATGGACTCGCGACGGTACGCCACTAGACGATGGATTTCTAAGTACATGTTTATCGTAGTTTTGATACTCGTGACACTTTCTTTTATCGGCATCTTTGACCACACCCAAAACATCACTTCGTTCTTACGACCACTATGGGACACACCACCACCTCCGTTCGAATACATGCCACATTATTATGCAGAAAATGCCTCCATGGACAACCTCTGCCGCCTCCATGGATGGTCCTTAAGCTCTGAACCACGCAACGTCTTCGATGCTGTCCTATTCAGCAACGAACTAGACTTGCTTGAACTCCGGTGGCATGAACTTTACCCTTATGTCACCAAATTCATCATCCTCGAATCAAACACAACCTTCACCGGCATCCCCAAGCCTCTCACATTCGCTCTAAATCGTGACCGTTTTGCTTTCGCTGAAGAAAAAATCGTTTACGGTTTCCTCCCTGGTCTACTAGCATTCGAGGTGCCTCCAGACCCTTTTTTGATCGAGTCACAGCACCGGACCGTTATGAACGAGTTGATCCGACGGTCTGGGATCTCCGATGGAGATCTTTTAATCGTATCGGATACCGACGAGATCCCGAGCTCACACACAGTTAAGCTTCTTCAGCACTGTGATGGCTTGCCATCCATCTTGCATCTCGAAATGAGAAACTACATTTACTCATTTGAGTTCCCGGTCGATTACAATAGCTGGCGGGCGACCGCACATATTTACAGCCGGTGGACTCGATACCGGCACTCCCGCCAGACTGACCTTATTCTTTCCGATGCCGGATGGCACTGCAGCTTCTGTTTCAGGCACCTGAGCGAGTTCGTGACCAAAATGACGTCCTACAGCCACGCTGATCGCGTGAAGAAAAAAGAGTATTTGGACTACTCGAGGATCCAACGGAAGATTTGTCGTGGAGATGATCTCTACGATATGTTACCGGAGGAATACAGTTTCAAGGATTTGATCGGAAAAATGGGATCGATTCCTCGTTCGGCTTCCGCAGTTCATCTTCCGTCGTACTTGATTGAAAAGGCGGAGAAGTTCAAGTTCCTTCTTCCCGGTGGTTGTCAACGTTCACCCGAGTGAGATTTATCTTGTCGAATTCCATCCATCCATTCGGTCTTATTAGCAAATCAATCAAATTTGTTTGGAACACCTACAACCCAGAGACCAATTTGTTAGAATAGTCGAGCCGGAAGACTAAACCAAACAAGCCCAATATATCCCGCTTGAAAGCAAGTTCTGAAAAGAGTGTGACGTACGAGACCTGACTTCTATCAAAAGGTAAAACGGTTGTTTTATGTCAAGGTGTAAGAGGAAAAGGTAAATAGTCGTGAGAGACGATCCAAAATTAATAATCTGTTTATCGTATGATGTCAGTAAAACAACATGTTATAAAAATGGTCTTATCCGAAATTATTGAGTCAACTTGTTGCTTTTTACCTGAGGAGGTGTTACTTTGACCATTTCAAAACAATCGGATTTTAAAAAACATCAAGAATCGATTCTTTAACTGGTTTTTATCACAATTATGAGATATGCGGAGGTCTACGATGGATTATCTATCGTTCTACTCATGATCCGAGTCTATATGGAGGAGGATAAGAAGGAGGGTAGGCCTGCCCTATCTATAGATGATAGATATATCTCACTTTCTTCAATCAATCATGCCAGATTGAATAAAACCGAGCCTATAACAACTAATATGAAAATTTTATAAAATTGTTACACCGAAGAAAAAAATCTTATTAAATAAAATCAAACTTCCAATTTGCCTTTTAATTTACATGGATCATATCTTTCTTTTTAGTCTATATTATTTTCATCTACTTTACCACATTCATAATGAATATTTTTTTGTTACAACTTTTTTCCAAACAGTTTTATATCAATTTTTTTATCAACTTAACAACTCAAAAATCTTAATATATCTTCGTTAGGTTATCTTTTGACTTATTAACGACTCACCATTTTAAATTTTATACCATTCTTAATTATTTGTATATAAATTATTATATTTTTATTTTTATTATTTTCACTATAAATTTATGTTGTATTAAATATTAATTATATCTTTTTATCAACTTAAACATACTGATAAATATATTAGTTTAATTCTGATTTTTTTATTAAAATTAAAAGCGTACTCGCGCAATGCAGCGAGATACATTATGATTTTAATATTATATTTTATTCTTTATCTCAGCTGTTGTTCTAATATGACTTTATGTGATTTTAAGAAAACGATGATGTTTTTATTTTTGAATAAAATATATGTTTGAA